AAGGGGCGCTGCCCCCCCGCAGCAGGGGGTGGACAAAAAAATCCCCACAAAGGACAAGCCACAGGCCACACAGCACCCCGCTGTCCCCCAGCCATCGGGGTGCCTCCTGCAGCCGGGAGCCCGCCCGTGGACATCATGCCCAGCCGGTGCAGGCCGCCCCAGCACAGCACGCAGTCCCCGAGTCTGCCTCTCTGCCTGTCTGAGACACCAGCACCCCGGCACACTCGGGGCCTCACACCAGGCCCAGCTCAGCTGTCACAGGGGACCCACAGAGCCCCTGGATCCCGGCGGAGCCGCCTTCTCCCAGAAGCCGAGCAGCCATGCTCCTGGGTCCTTCCTTCAGGGGGCAGCTCTGCCCGCCGGGCTCTGTGCCCAGGGCCCACAGCGGCCCTGAGAGCTGGCATTGCCGGGTCAGCCCCGCAGAGAATCACACCCCCTCCTGATGCAGCCGTGTCTCTTCATCGCCCAGGGGCCCCTGCCAGCCCCAGATGCCATCACCTCCTACCTGGCCCCTCGCTGACCTCCCTGCTGCCATGCTCACCATGGCAGTCCCTCCTGCCCACAGCAGCCATTGCTAGAAATGCCGCCCCATCACACCTCTCCTCTGCTCAAGACCCTCCACGCTCCCCATTGCTCTGGGAGAAAAGCCAGCCTCCCTGCTGGGCCACCACACCCCTTGTGATCTGGCTGCTCCTCTCCCAGTTGAGGCCCCACCTGCTGCCTCTTGCTCACTCTGCTCCAGTCCTGCCACCGCCTCTGGGTTCCCGCGCACCCCAAGCGCGGTCCTACCTCAGGGCTTTTGCATTTGCTGTCCCTGCTGCCTGGAGGCCTGTCCTCCCAGCTCCTCATCCCGGGGCCTAGGCAGCCTGGGCGGTCCCGGAGTTGATGTTCTTCTGGACATGAGGACGGACAGACAGAGCCCAGCCAGGGGCCCGGCCCCGCCCCCCACACCCACCTAAGCCTGCACTCCCTGCAGCCGGGATTCCTCAGTCTCCCCACTCTGGCCTTGGTCTCAGGTTCTGTGCTCTGCAGGGGCTGCCATGGCACGACAGAGGTGACGCCCTGTCCCCAGACCCCGCGTGGTGGCCGCCCTGCCTCAGTACCAGGCCCTGTTCTCATGGCATTAAGTAGACCGACTTGTTACTCTCCCCCAAAATCTATGCTACATATGAGGCACAGGGAGGTCAAGCGACTGGCCCAAGTTCACACAGCCAGGACCTGGCAGACCAGAATTCGAACCCAGGCAGCCTGGCCTCCGGGTCCATGCCTTCCGCTGCACCACCATGGAGTGGGACCCTCTCTGGGGCATATCCTGGTGGTGCCCTGGGTGCTGCCTCACCCCCAGGCTCTCCTCACCACTCAGGGGATAGAGTCTGGACCCCTGGGCCCAGCCCACGAGGCCTTGCACAGCCGGCCTAGCCCCGGGGTGCCCAGACAGCACCCCCTGCTCCCTACCGAGCACCGCCCACCCTGGGGACAGGGCTCACTTCACGGAGATGGAGAACTCCCCCGGCGAGCTCTCGCTCTCGCGGATCAGGAAGGCGCCCAGGTGGTTCCTCTTCATCAGGATCTCTTCCGCCAGCTGCCGGGAAATCCTGCCGGAGTACCACCTGCCGAGAGAGGCCGTCCTGATGCGGGGGACGCGATCGCCGTACCCCGATGCAGAGACCAGGGGCCAGAGGGGACACGCTGAGGCCGGCGCTCAGCCTTTGGACCGCCCTGGCGCCCGCGAACACCGCGTGAAACAGACGCTCCGGCCGCAGCCCGCCAGCCTCGGGCTAGCCTCTCCATGTCAGAGGGTAGAGTCCTCCTCTTGGTCTTGCTTCCTTTCCCTTTTGCTTTCTTCCTCTCTCTCTTTTTAATTTGCCACAGGGTGCGTGCACTCACCAGAGAGAGAGACAGAGAGGGAAAGTGAGAAAGCATGTGGCATCCGGCCGACTCGACCACCTGGCCACCGGCTGGCCCACTGTCATCTATTTTTGTATTTTGTGACTTTAAAGAACCCACCACTGGGGGGCTGGACAGTGGCGCCTCCCTGGACGCTGGCCGTGCTCGGGGCCCTGACCCGGGCCAGCTGAAACTGGAGTGGAGGGTGGCAGGAAGACCCCGTTGGAGGGGCCTGTGTCTCTCTCTGTTTCTCTGTCACTCTCTCTCTGTCACTCATAGAAGAAAGAAACCTTTTTAAAAAGTTTTTTTGACTGATTTTTGTGATAGGCCGTGCGTACTTGCCAGAGAGACAGAGACTGAGAAACCAGAAGCGAGAGATCACCCCCCAGGGGGGATGGTCACGCCGCAATCCCTTCTCCATTCTCCTCTCGGGATCTTGGGCACACACGTACACGCGCCCGGCGTGAGTTTTAAGTTGCTCGGTCCAGGGTTCTGTGGTGGGGCCTGTGGGCGGTGACCAGGAGCCCTCACAGGTGTGGCTGGTGTCCTTGTAAGAGACCCAGGGGCCCGCTTCCCTTCCCCACAGTCAGCGGGGGCCGGGCAGCCGGGAGAAGGTGGTGTTACGCATCTTCCCGGTGTGGCCGGGCAGACAAAACCCCCTGTCCTCCCTCATCCACGGTTTTGCTTTCTCTGTGGTTTTATTTGTTGTCATTTTTAAATAACATATATTGGATTATTTTTATAATGCATATTTAATTTAATTCTTTTTAATTTGCTAAAAGGTATTTGCTGACTCAAGGGAGAAAGAGCAAGAGAAGAGAGAAAGCAAGCTGCCAGGTCTGGGACTCGAACCGTGGTCAGTCATGTGGGAGTCCAAAGTCTTAGCCACCACACCACCTGCTGGCCCCACCTCTCTGTGTTTTGTTGAGTGGCAAGGGGTGGGACCTGCTTTGGGTCCCTGGACTGGGGGTGTAGGCCCTTCATCTGGCAATAGCCAGACCCCACAGGGCTGGCCAGGGTTTGAGTCCCAGCCCTGGCAGCTTGGAAACACCGCGATCCGTGTGCACAGACCTGGGACCTAATGGGATGGAGGAAAGCAGACTGTGGCATGACCAGGCACCCACCCCTGTCTGTCTGTCCGTCTCTCAAAGGCACACGTGGCCTCTGGTATGAAAGAAAAACACAAAGACAGAGCCCCCAGACGCCTGGAGGTTCCGGTCGGGTGAGCAGGCAGGGCAGTTTCTGTGAGCCCTGCTACCAGGAAGCCCCAGCTCCATCCTGTCAGAGCTGAGCCCCGCGAGGCCCTGGGCGGGAGTTTCCTGAGAGGCCAGGTGTCTCTGAGCAACCCACAACCCCCACAGGAGGCCCAGTCTGTGGGCGCTGTCGCCCTCAGAGACTGCAGCCTCACCCAAGGAGGCCCCGTGGGCGGCTGGTTCAGGTGTGGGAGGAGACGCCCGAGCCAGCTCTTCCCCACACCGGCTTCATCCACCAGGTGGAGGCCGCCTGGTACTGTCCCCATGTACTGATGGCCCAGAGAGGGACAGGAGCCCCTCAGAGATTGCACAGCAAGTCCCTGTCCTCAGACGCCCCCAGCCCCACGGCTGTTCTCCTGGGTTCGCCCCCTGCCCTCCCCGGGCCCACACCACGCAGCTGCACTCCCACGGCTCCTCCTGCCCGGCTGTGTGACCTGGACCAGTCGCTCCACTCTGCACCTCCGTCCTCTGCCAGGCAGTGCTGACAGGTCTCACTCAGGGCCTTGGGAGAATGACCGGGTGGCGTGTGCGTCCCCCCTGCCGCTACTGTGAAGTGCCCCCACCTCCCTTGATGGGCCCGTCCTCTGCCCCCTCTGCATACTTCTTTTTTTTAACCTTTAATTATTTATTTGTTGTGATTTTTTTTTTTTTTTTTTTTGGAGAGGTTTTTTCTTATTGGGCGCGTGCGCTCGCCAGAAAGAGAGAGACAGAGAGAAAGATAAGTGAGAAATCACCCCCCAGAGGAGATGCCCACGCCGCAATCCCTTCTCCTCCATTCTCCTCTCGGGAGAATGGCCCTCTCTGCAAACTTCTACCCCAAAGTCCAAGCCAGTGGGCCTTGCCCTCCCTTGGGGAAGCCCTCCCTGACTCCCACTGCCCGTATTGCTGGGCCAGGTGCCTCCAGGACCCTGCTGCAGGGGTGCCATGCCTGCACTGTGCCTGGCTCACAGGGGCAGGCGGGGGAACGGCGGGCACTCGGGGCTCAAGGAGGAGGGGCCTGGTGGAGACCTGAGGCCTGCCGGGGCCCAGCCCCCATGCCCTGGGCCTTCTAGGTGAGTCAGGTGGATTTCCCCAGCTATTTGGGGACAGGGCGGGTGCGGAGGCTGGCTGAGGACACACCTGGGCACAGCCCCAGGCTGCTCGGTCCGGGGCCTGAGCGAGCCCCATCCTACCATCTCAGACACGGCAGCCAGAGCTGACCAGGGGCACCACGGCTGGCACGCTCCCTGCTCCCAGCTGTCCTGGTGGCGCTGCCCAGGCAGGCGGGCCTGGAGTTAGCACCGCCTGTCAGCCGCTGCCCAGGCAGGCGGGCCTGGAGTTACCACCGCCTGTCAGCTTCCTCTCCCTCTGCTCGGGCCCCCCAGGCAGCGAGAGGCCCCCAGCCTTCTGCCTTGGCCAGGCCGTCTCCTCCGACAGCCCTCCCTGACCAGCCACCCCTGGCCTTGTCCTCTGGGAGTGCCATTGCCTTCAGGAGCCCGGGAGCTGGTCGGGCTGTGGCCCTGGGCCGTCCTCGCTATCTCCCTCTCTGCGCTCCCTTTTATGATGGGAAGACTGAGCCCAGAGGAGGCAGAACCTGCCCAGTGTCACACAGCAGCCCAGGGTGGCGACTGAGACCATGGCCTCCCTGGGCGAGGCTGGGAGCGGCTGGGACCTGGGTGGGACAGGACTGCACTCCGCACAGGAAGCCCGAGGGGGTGCAGCTTTGGAAATAACTCAGAGATAAAAAGGAAATACCCTGAGGCCCCGCCCTGCCCCTGCACTCCCTCCCCCTTCCACCCACAGCTGCATGTCTGTCACGGCTCCCAGCCTGCCCTCCAGCCTACCCCGCCTGTCACCTGGCTCCACCCGGCTGAGCCCACCTCCACTCTAACACCCATGGCTCCCCACTCGCTCACCTCAGCCTGGTATTCGAGCACCCCCCACACTCTAACACCATGGCTCCCTGCTCACTCGCCTGGGCCTGGTATTTGAGGCCCCCCCTACTCTAACACCATGGCTCCCCACTCGCTCGCCTGGACCTGGCATTCGAAGCCTCCCCTACTCTAACACCCATGGCTCCCCACTCGCTCGTCTGGGCCTGGTATTCAAGGCCCCCCCCCTACTCTAACACCATGGCTCCCCGCTCGCTCGCCTGGGCCTGGCATTCGAGGCCCCCCTACTCTAATACCATGGCTCCCCGCTCTCCTGGGCCTGGCATTCGAGGGCCTCCTGCCGGTTCTACAGGACAGAGCTTCCCCCTCACTGCTCTCCTGCTCATCCTGACCTCTCAGAACTGCCCTTCTCCCTTCCTACTTCGCCAACTCGTATGCATCCTGCAAGGCCTCACTCATTGCCACCTCTTCTGGGAAGCCCTCCCTGGTCAGTGACCTCAATGCCGGCTGCTCTGCCCTCTGTGTGGCTCCAGCATCAGACGGGGTGCCCGGGCCATGGTGAGTGCTTGGTAAACGGCTGGGTGAGTGGCTGCAGCTTGGGGCTCCCTTGGCTGTTCTTCAAGGCCTGTCCAGCTGGGCTTGCACCTCTCCCAGGCCTGGGCCTGTTCTGGGCTGAGAACTGCCCAGCGTCCTCTGGGAGCAGTCAGAGGCCCCTGCCAAGATTGGCAAGGCTACCTGGGCCCTGGGCCCGGTCCCCGATGCTGCTCGGGTCCCCCAAAGTCCCATGCCCAGGGAAGCCCCGAGTCCCAGCCTTGGGGGCAGCTCAGCTCAGTGGGGCAGGGAGGTGGCCACTCACGGGTGGGGCTTGACACGGATGTAGTTCTTGGGGATGAAGCCCTCAGCACCCCGGAGCTCAGCCTTGTACCAGTTCTGGTCGTCCTCCATGTTCAGCACCTGTGGGCAGGAGAGACGCCGCTCAGCCTCCGAGGGGGACAGCTGCCACCGCCGAGCCCTGGCCCGCGGGCCTCACAGAGGAGGGCTGGGCGTCTGGGGACCCACCCACGTCACAAGCGCTGAGTCAGAGCCAGCTGTCGGGCGCCAGATCCCCTCCTCTGGTGGTCAAGAACCACCCGGGAGCAGGCGGGGATCCACAGGAGGTTTGGGGTGAGGGTTTGGGTGGCCAGAGCTGGGCTCCGGGCAGATGGCGGGGTCTTGAGAGCAGATCTGGGGCCTTCGTTCCTAAGCTCCAGCCCCGAGTGTGGGGTCCCACAGTACTTGCATGCCATGCACGAAGCCTGGGGTGAAGGTCAGAGGTCGCCCGGGAGCTCAGGAGCCCCAGCCTGTCCCACTCACAGTCACTTGCATTTCAACAGCAGCTGCAGTTGGAGCCCAGGGGTGTGGACAATTCGTGGGGCGTTCAGGCACGGGGAACAACTAAGAGAGGCCTTTGGGCTGCGACGAGGCCGGTTCTGGGCCCTGGCCTGGCCTCAGCCCGGCCTGCTCGGTCACACGGCTACTTTCCATCCCCCTCAGGCCACCCCGCAGGTGGGCCAAGAGGAACCGAAATACCCCAGTGGAGGCGGGGAGTCATTGCTGCTGGGCAAGCAGGAACAGAGGGGAGGGGTCTGTGGGGGGGACAGAGGCCATAGGAAGCTTGGGGGGCTCTCCTCCAGTCCCTAGGCACATTCTCATGTGTCACCCCAAATCTCATGCAATCCTTCAAATGCCATTTTGCAGATGACAAAATGGGCCTAGAGAGGGGAGGTGACTGGCCTAAGGCCACACAGCAGGGGACAGGCAGAGCCCAAATGGGGGCTTTGGCTGGGCTGGTCTGGGAGTCCCTGATGCCCCAGTTCCACCCCCACCCACCTCCCCTTCTATGCCCAGGCCGAGCCCGGGGGACCCCGTGCCAGCTCGGTCCCAGAGAAAAACTGACGAGAGCAGCAAAGGCGTGCATGCCAGCGTGAGGCCGCCACGCGGGGAGGTGTGCCCACGGGGCTGGGAGCTGGGAGGCCCCGTCCTCGCGGGCGGCACCCCTCGTCTGCCCAGGCCGGACTGAATTCCCGCAGCCCGGCCAGGTCGCCGCCCCAGGACAGGCGGAAGCAGGCGGCTGACTCAGGAAAACTTTGGCTCAAAACAAAACGATCCCCCAGACTGAGGAGAAAACGAGGGCTCGGCCTCCGGCCCGGCCGCGATATGAGGGACGTTCTGGAGCCGGGGGGCGACACCCCCGCCTGCTCCTGACTCGGGGGCCTCAGCCTCGGCTCCCCAGCTGCTAGGTGGGCACGTCCTGGCCTGCGTGGTGTGCGGCGGTGACTCCTGGACGCCCTCCTCTGTAACCTGGTCTACGGCGCCGCTTCATTCTTCTTCTTCTTTTTTGTTTTTTTAAGGATTTATTTATTCAATTTTATTTATTTATTCATTTATTTTAATTTGACTAGAGAGAGACAGAGTGAGAGAGAGAGGAGGGAAAGTGGGAAAGCAGCCACTAGATCCGGGACTCGAACCGCAGTTAGCCAAGGGAGTGTCCGGCACTTTAACCACCACACCACCTGCTGGTCTCCCTTAATAATTTCTTCTATAAGTGAGAGACACAGAGACAGAGACAGCCCCAGGCCTTGCTCCAGCCCCAACCTCAGCCAGCCCTGGATCATGGGTGTATGCCCGGCCGTACTCGGGCAGGCCTCAGGTCGCAAACCTGGAGCCTTCCGCATGGCCAGGCCCATGGCCTCACTGCACCCCGCCCCTGTCGTTCCCCACTCTACTCAGAGAACGGGGTGTCCCCCTTGTGTCCCCCTTGGTTTCCATAGCAGAATTTTTTTCTTTTTTTTTTTTTAGGGATTTTTTTCCATAGGGTGTGTGCACTTGTTAGAGAGAGACAGACAGAGACGGTGAGAGATAAAGTGAGAAATCGCCCCCAGGGGGATGGCCGCGCCACAATCCCTTCTCCATTTTTCTCTCCAGACCTTGGACAAGCATACACACGCGCCTGGTGTGAGTTTTAAGCCACCGTCCCATGTCCGGGACTCGAACCGCAGTCGGCCATGTGGGAGTCCAGCGACGTAACCGTTATACCATCTGCTGCCCGTTAGTGAAATTCTTACTGCTCACTGTTCAAAACCCAGATGGGGCTTCTCACAGGAGAACTCCCACAGGACCTCCCTCGGGAGGGAGGCCGGCTGCCCCTGGTGCACGGCCACTCTGAGGCAGACCACACCCGGCCTACCCGGCCTCTGCTCCTGCTGCGCCCCCTCCAGGCTGTCCTCCCATCCTGCTTCCCTGCCTGACTGGGTCACGCAAGTGCCTCGTGGGTGCCAGGCACCGCGTTGAACCCGGCCACACGCAAGGAACATGAGCTGACACTGGGGGGCCAGGCCGTGGGAGGACAGACGCGGGGGGCAGGAGCTGACACTGAGGGGAACAGGTCGTGGGAGGACAGACGCAGGGGGCAGGAGCTGACACTGGGGGGCCAGGCCGTGGGAGGACAGACGCGGGGGGCAGGAGCTGGCACTCAGGGCACCAGGCCGCGGAAGGACAGACGTGGGCACCCGAGGAGGCCTGCTGTGGTGGCCGGCGCCGAGAACACTCCCCGTGACAATGCAGGTGCAGCGTGCCTGGACGGGGCAGGTGGCCGGTTGGGAGTGACACGGGCACTGAGAGCCGAGTCATAAGAAGGAACTAGAGGTGTGAGGACACAGGGGACAAATGTCCTGGGCAGAGGGACCCGGCGCTGGGGTGGTGCTGGCTGCTGTGGAGCGGGGCAGGGACAGGCTCCGTGCTGGTCACTGCGTGGGGGCCGGGGTCAATGGGGCGCAGCTCTGGTCGCCCAGACCCAGCAGGTTCCGAGAAGGTGACAAGTGGGCGGGCTCGGGCTGCACCGGAGCATGACAGCACTCAGCCGCAGGCTGGAGGGCGCAGCTGCGGGAGCCAGGGGTCTGCCGGGCTGGTAGGTGCCCAGGGCCGTCCCCCTGGGGACGTCGGGGAGGCTGTGGCTCCCAGGTCTGGGCCTGTCCGAGCCCCTTCTCCGGTGGCAGTGCGGCTGCCATGCACGGGGCCATGTCCGCCCAGCAGGAGGCAGGCCTGGTCCCAGGGAGGTGACAGTGGGAAGTGCACAGAGCCCAGCGCCGTGCCTCTGTCTTCATCCGACATGAGAAGTCAAGGGCTCCAAGACTCAGGGATCGAAATCAACAACATGTTAATGCAGAGTTTAAAAAATCGAAGTGAGTGGGAGCCAGACGGCGGCCCGGCAGCACAACGCAATGCTGCTCCAGGCGACCACGTGGAAGGCTCAGGGTTCAAGCCTTGCTCTAGGGCAGGCTGAGGCTGAGGGCAGGTCTCAGCACCGAGGCCCTCCGGGCAGCTCTTCCTCTCTCCCGCTCGAAGAAGAGATAATTACACTTAAACACAAACTGGGGCCAGCAGGTGGCGTGGAGTTAAGGTGCTGGATGACCACGTGCGGTTCGAGTCCCGGACCTGAGGGCTTGAAAACCACACTGAGCACACAGGTGTGCATGCCCAAAATCCCAGGAGGAGAAGGTGGTGTGGCCGGGCCATCCCCCCAGGGGAGATCTCTAATGTTTCCTCTGCCTCTCTCTCTCTCTCTCTGAGGTGAAGGCGCGTGCCCTAGGGTGAACTGCTTGAAAAAAGAAAGGAAGGAGGAAGGAGGAAGGAAGGAAGGAAGGAAGAAAACTTTGATCAGGTTAAAGCGGATGGATCCCATAAGGTTGACTGTGTGGTTTGAGTCCCAGACCCAGCAGCTGGGACTGCATGGGGACCAGCAGTTAGCATGATGGCTGTGTCGCTGGATTCCCACGTAGTCGACTGCGGTTTGAGTTCCAGATCAGGTGGCTTAAACTCACACTGAGCACGTGTGCATGCGTGCCCAAGATCCCGAGAGGAGAACGGAGGAGAAGGGATTGCGGCGTGACCATCCCCCCTGGGGGGTGATTTCTCACTTTCTGTCTCTCTCTGTCTGTCTGCGAGTCCACACACTCTATAGCAAAAAAAAAAAAAAAAAAAAACTCCCATGTAGTCAACCGTGGTTCGCGTCCCGGACCCGGTGGCTTGAAACTCACGTCGGGCGCGTGTGCGTGCATGCACAAGATCCCGAGAGGAGAATGGAGAAGGTATTGCGGCGTGGCCATCCCCCCTGGGGGGTGATTTCTCGCTTTCCGTCTCTCTGTCTGTCTGGCGAGTACACGTACCCTATAGAAAATCCTCTCAAAAACAAAACAAAACAAAACAAAAAACACATGTATGTGTGTGCCCCAAATCCTGAGAGGTGAATGGAGGAGAAGGGATTGTGTGACCTAAGTGTGACCATCCCCCTTAAGGAGTAAGGAAGGACTGACTCTCTCTGTCTCTGTCTCTCTCTGTCTGTCTCTCTCTGTCTCTCTCTCTGTCTCTCTGTCTCTCTCCAGTGAGTACACATGCCATATGGCAAAAAAAAAAAAAAGCAAAACATCTAAAAATGAACAGTAGTTAGTAATGATCTTCAATCTTGCTTCACTAACTGTAACCAATGTATCTTGCTGGTGTAACACCTTAACAAGAGCAGCTAGATCCTGGGCATGTGGGAACCCCTCTGTCTTTTTTTAATTTGTTTTTTATTTTTGCCATAGGGCATGAGCACTCACTGGAGAGAGACAGGGACAGAGAGAGGCGAAGTGAGAAACCACCCCCGGGGACGTCCACCACAGTCCCTCCCCGGTTCTCATCTCGGGAATTCGGACACGCACACACGTGCACCCAGTATTTTCAAGCTGCCGGATCTGGGACTCAAACTGCTGAGTTAGCGATGTTGGAGTCTAGCACCTCAACCACCATGCTATTTGCTGGCCCTTGAATCCTTCTAATCTTTTTTTTAACATGTCTTTTGTTTGTTTTGTTTGTTTGTGTCACAAGGCGTGTGCACTTGCCGGAGGGAAACAGAGAGAGACAGAGAGGGAAGAGAA